CCATTAGTGAAAAGTGAAAAGAAAGCCCCTGCATTAAGCAGCCATTAAAAATATTAAAGCACCTGCACTTAAAAACTGAAAACATCAACTAATTGTGACATGTACAGAATTGTGGACATCCTAATAAGTCAGTAGTTAGTGCACTAATTTCAACAGTTTCCTGTTACATTAACACAAATTCCTGTACTCTGTTGAATACCAGACAAGGAACAATAATGTGTTTTAATAACACTAGATGGTGCTGATGCCCTAAAAAAGTCAAAGTATTCCATTCATAAGCCTTTCTCCAGTAATTTATTTATCATATCTGGCTAGATTCCATGTACAGCAATTTGGGCCTATCTGTCTTCTCAGTGGAAATTTTACATTGTATATTCTTTAGTGTAGCAGCACAGATTGCCAGGCTCTCTAGTAATGAGTACATTTATTGACACCTCAGTGCAGAAAGCCTGAATGCCATGTTTTTTTCTGAATGCTTGAAGCACCAAAGCATGATCAGTCAGCAAAAGAAGGGAAGGAGAGACTTGCATGCGATATTTTTACATTTAGCAAATGCACTTGGTTCTGATCCACACATCCTACTGTGAGAAGCATTAGAGTAGTTTTTTTTCTTCAAACCTACCAGACATAGTCAGAGGGTTAGTGAGAGAATTTTTTCTGGACATAGCAAGGCAGTGCTTGTAAACAGGCATCATGCACAGTTTCACTTAGTTTTTCACATATAATCATGGTTCTTGTTATTATCTAAATGAGGTGCAGTGGAGAGAGGCTTCATCCATGTGCACAAACATGGCCAAAAGGCTGTGGGACAACTTAAACCAACCTCATATGGACTAGGATGGAGTATTGTTATTGTAAAGGGTGTCCTTTCAAGTGAACAGTTTTATATAGATGAGGAGGTAATTTCAGCAGTGTTAAAGAAGCCAGTAAAAGTTTAGGTAGGTGGCTTTTTGTAATAAAGAGCAGATCCAGGGCCTGAGACAGCAGGTAGTGGATGGCATTAAGAATACCAGGCCTTCCAGGCATCCTCAATTTATTGCACCTGCAGTTTGGTCTGCTGCCATAATTGCTGTGGCCCCTAACAGTGTATGATGACCATTTCCAAGGTAGTGAAGCTAGAGAGAATGGCTAGCACTTACATTTGATTGGATCCCCACACTGTCTCAGCAAAGTGGCCCTGTATGGAGAGCCCTATATCCAGCTACACAGAGGAATTTAAATGTGCAAAAGCGGGCTTAGGCACAGCATGAGCAAAGAGCAAAGAATCAGATGACAGAGTAGATTCAGAGGAAGAGGCTGCTGATATCTTGCTGTCTGGCCTAGCAAACAGCTCAAGCAGTATATGCTGGTTAGGTGGTTGGACAAGTGAGTGGGCCTGACTGATGAACAACCCAGATGGGCCAGCCACTGTAACATGAGCAGATACAATACAGACGCGAGGCCAAGTCATACCACCAACTATCTGCTCTCTGCTTGGGTGAGATAGGATTCAAAAAGGTGTTAAAGGTGGAGAAAGATTCAGATCAAACCAAACAAGGACACTACAAAGCCCCCCATCATGCATCCTGTCCTTCCCAGGGCACTTCCCCTGGGCACTGTTGACCACAGACAGCACCAACCCCCCCAACCCCCCACCCC